CAAATTTTAATTTAATACGTCGTAGTGGTAAGACTACAAAAACAAAAAAAAAAAAACAATTTTCTCCGCAGACGTAAAATATCAGATTTACAGGAGTCTATTCTACGGAATACTAGGTATATACTTCGTTTCAATCACGCACTGTGAATTAAAAAAAAATAAAAATATGCTACGGTATGCGGAAATGGAAATCGCCTTCAATTATTACGATAACGATACGCGGTGTGCGCAAAGCACAGCAAATAACAAGATATTTTTTTTTTTAGATTTCGAGCGTAGTGCGAGATATATCGGTTTTACTATGGCGTGCGCTTATATTTATTCATTTTTTTTTCCATATCTGCGGGCAACTTTTCTAACAAAAATCTTGGTCCAATCAACAAATGAAAAGAAAGATTTTTTGTAGCGTTTGCAATATAGCCGTTAGTATGTACCCTACCTCTTTTTTTTTTTTTTTTTATAATAACGCTCCTGAGAGTTTTTGCCTTTTATGCAAGTACAACGAGTGACGACAAATATTATTACAAATAGTAAATAATAATAATAATAATAATAAAATATTATTATTAACTATACAAATAACAACTTTAGCTAAGAAATGTTTGAAAAAAATAATGCAATCACTAACAAAAAGTTAGAAACCAAAGTAAACATGCGATTGCAATATTTCATACTCGGTTCTCAAATCCCTATGTCAATATTAATATTTTATTATTATTATTTTTTTTTTAATTCTATCGTGATCTTTTTTCCTTCATTTTTTTACTCTTTACATAAATGATTTCCGATTGTATAAAAGTACATATAATGTTTTTCACTATAGATTCTATACTTTTTGTACATTCTTCATACTTTAACTTAGCGGCTGTTATAATTGAAGTTCAAAGAGAACGGGGAAACTAGTTAAAATTTCAGAATCCTTCTACTTATCAAAGAAAAAATCGTAATAGAACATTCAAAAATTCTTCCGATTTTAGATTTTGAGCCCAGTGGTATTAAAATGATGTAATAAATAGACCTACCCAAAGCTTCTCACCCATACAATGGCCACTGTTTTAACTACGTTCGATGAATTAACAAAAAATATTTTAAATCGTTTATAGAAATATGACTATCATATCTCGTATATCTCCGATGAACCAAGATTGTAAATGGCGTACCTCATGACTTAAATTTAAATTTAAGACATTCAAGGGTCGGGTATACATTTTGCAAAATATCCCCACAGTATATACCTACCTAAGACATACACAGTTATGGGTCGATGTTCGCGTTTTAAAATTGATATTTAACTGCAGTAATTATTATAATAATAATGTTTTAAATATAAATTATTTTTTGCGGCAATACTATAGATGTCAAAACCAAACGTCACCGACAAGTTAAACGTCACGACATTTGTTCGTTTTAATATTTCATAAATAATATTATATATCAAATTTAAAAATACACAATAAAAATAGTGTAATAAAAAATCATTTGGAATGTCGAGAAAAAAAATAAAAAAAAATAAAAAGCAAAATTAATCAGGCCTGCAAGATTGACATCTAGCTGTTCGTCTCAATAAATTTAAAAACTTTTTTCTCCGATTATCTGCAAGGTTTATAAGTTGTATGAAAAAAAAAAAAACGATTTTACAAAAACATCATCTAATTTCGATTCGCTCGCCTTCTATTTACGTCAAATATGTTTCCACGAGCTCATCGCCAAAGCGTTTACAACGCTTTTAACCGTGTTTTGAAAATATATAAATCTATTATACTTCTTATTTTTCTCAAGAGTTCATACCAAATCTGGTCGAGTAACTTATTGGTCGTAGCGAGATCAATTTATTTTTAAGCGTTTTACAGTGTCATAGTCAGGATTTTTCAACGGGCAAGAAAAAGGCATACACCAAATTACAATGTATTATAACGTTTTTCCTTAGCTATATTTAATAAAAAGTACTACTTAAATAACCAATGAAATATGAAAATATGAAAATAAACCTCTAAACTAAATTTCCCATGATTTTTTTTTACCAAGTACAATAGCCTATCATTAACTTTGTACTAAGCTTTTGAATATTTGTATAGAAATTATTTATGTAAAGTAGTAACGTATGGACTTTTTACGATTTTGGTAAACACTTAATATTCGGACGCTTTTTAAAAGAAAATCGTATCAATGGGTTTGCGATATTTTTATTCCACCATAAGAATAACTTGTAATAATTTGTTTTAAATTTTTGGACGGAGCCAAATAAATTTTATCCACATAAAACTCCATACAAATTCGTCCATTTTAAATAGCTGTTTATAATTCAAATAACGTCGGAATATTTTTAAAATTGCACTACGTCTATAGATAGTGCTAAGTTCTATGAATATTTATTCCATGTTTCTACAATTATGTTTTTCACCGAGTTAAAAAAAAAAAAAATCCGGTCAAAAATAATACTAACCGTGATTTTTGCGTTCAAATTCGAATGAACTCGTGAAAATTCGTGAAAACCGAAGAAATTCTTCATGAATTACGTTTTGAAACTGTTACGTTGCAAGTTCAATAACATAAAATATTGATACTTGTACGCATTAGGTATTAATTCGATTGCACGGACAGAGCGGTTTCCGGAAGCCTAAACAAATTATCATGTTTTTACACGGTACATGTAGTGATGGCGATTTAGGTGTATTATAATACAAGCGTAGTATTATTGTAGTATGGTCTATAGTAGTAGTATATTATTCCAAATAATTTGTCCCGAGTGAATATAATAATATTATTATGATATTCGTCGTAACCAATTTACCAGTGGCATTATGTAAATTCAAAAACGGCTCTAACCGTTTATCTTTTCTATACACCGCACTTAACCAGCTTTTTCGCTGTGTAGTATAATATGACGACGATGATTCCGATGAGTGTTATCCGGTGTAGAATTTATTTTATTTTTTTTTTTTTGTTAGCGATTCTTATACGCGTATTATTATATACAATATACATAAGATTTATTTCTTATATTTTCATTATTTGTCGTTTTCGTTAGCATCCATTTTTTTAACCTAAAAAAAAAAAAAAAAAAAAAAAAATACTTACATTTCGACATATTATTTACCATAAAAAACGAATAATATGCAGAATGTATATTTCAACGACAATATAAATATAATTCATACGTTAAGCATGTTTATGACACATGTTATACAAAATATAAACCAAATCCAAAATCAGCATGTTATTTAAATTAATTTCGATTGCCAATATTTTATTTTAACGCGGTCCGAACCACAATTTGTTGTTCGTTTTAAATACAGTATTATTATTATCCGTTCTTTGTCTTCCCGGATTTCCGAACCTACAAACACTATCCCATATCACACCAGATCATGCAACTTTCTCTGTCTATCTCTTGTTATCAATCCTCAGATTAGTTTGCAGCTTCATTCCATCATTCGCTTCTATTGTCCGCATTCCATTTCAGTAGTAAATACGAATCGTTTATGTTCTCATTCGTGATTTGATTGGTTGGTAATGCTGCCTAAGTATTCTTATCGATATTATCTATCCATTGCGTTACATTGTGTTTCGGTAAAAAACTTAAAAACAACCAATGTATTTTCATTTATTAATGCTAACATTTTAAATTTGAAATCATTTATCCCGCTCGGGGATAATTCAATTTTGTTCTGTAAACCGTGGTTAAGGTCTTATCAATCGCTATAGTTCTTAAACTACCGGAATATGTTTAGTATCATTCGGCTTAAAATACCAAGGAACTAATTTTTAACCACGTTCTGAAATGTCTCGACCCAATCTCATTTTGCGAACATCTATTGTAATATTACATTTTTTTTCTATCTTACTCGTTGTTTACAGCATTTCTCGTAATATTATTATATACTTACGGTCCATCGTTATGCCGCAGTATAAAATAATATAGTATGAGTATTGCAAAGTAATTTTCACAATATTATAGTCGTATACATTTTTCTCATTTGACTTAATTGAAAATTTTATAGCGCAATTTCCACTTGCCTAACAATAAAAATTCGAATATTTTTTTTCTCAGCCATTCATAATATATTTTATCATATTATACACTCGTAACGGGTATTCCATAAATATTTATTTCTACCAACGCAGTTTATAATATGGGTAAATCAACGCGATTCGTCCATATTGTGTCGTTACGTCGATTATTATTTTGAATTCGGAACGAAGTCAGAAATGTATTAGTATAATTGGTATAAATATAGTTTTATGACAAAGTAATTTTCACATCTTGTTACATGAATTTTATTTCGCATTTAAATAAAATTTTCACCGAAAGACTTATTCGAATCATTATGGTCAAGGATGGTTTCTCGCAAAAAATGTTGTCTATTAACTATTGATATATTGTGGTAGTAATTTATTGATTTTTCGTGCGATAGGTTTTGTTCAAAACACAAACAATCGTAATTTATTTTGTAGGTCGGGTCGGAGTCACAAATAGTCAAATAGTAACAACTTTTACCTATTCGTTTTTGATTTAATGGTTTCTATAAAGTTATTTAATAAAATTCAAAATTAAACCGTAAATACATTATAAGTTTACCAATACATAGTTTGAGTTTCAAAGAACATTATGAAATGAACAGTTAGTATTTATATTTTAAAATTGCATTTTTACCGTACTTATGGTCTTTTTATGTTATTTATGTTTTCGTAATAACTAATATCATCCAGTAAATAAATTAATGCAAACAATGACCGAATATAAAATTACAAAATTATACTATTTACGAATGAAAAATGGGTGGCCATATGTAGTGAATTAGTCCTAGTCAAAAAACTAATGCAATTTAAAATTCGTTTTGACTTTTAAAAAATGTATCGTTGCATACAGTACATAAACTAAATAATTCCTATATATCTTATCTATTACACCGTCTTAAAATCTTGTTAATTTTTCTAAAATTTCTCCCAAACGGTTAAACGGTTATTGAAACTTGAACAACCTAAGATTTTAACGTTGGTACCTGGGAGCATCGAAATAATATTTTGAGCTATTCAGATGAAATATTTAGGTATACCGATTGTATTCTATTTTCATGACTTGAAACGTGTTAATCTCCAGAGGAAGATTATATGCAATACGGCTTGCCAAGGATTTAGTTGCCCAACCGTACCGCGACGGTATAATAAAAGGTTTATTTATGTTTTTATTCCGACAGCGTCGCAAATACCAAATTATTACATAGCAAAGTAATTCCCACTCGAACAATATTAAACTGCACGTCTTGCAGCGAAAGCGAACACGGATTTAATGCTAACAAATGGTTATCGATGACTGTTGTAAAAACATATAAAATAATTAAACGTATCTGAGTGTAGGTACATACAATTTGTATACACGGATATTTATATTTTCAATTTTTGGTTACACAATGAAGTTTATTTCTTATTTTCTGTGAAAAACTTTTCTACCAGAATCTGCTCCGATTTTCAAGGGTAGCGCCTTTTATGAAAGAAAATTTTTCATTTTACAGACGCCATTTTTTATTTCACCTAGGGTTTTCATAATAGGTGGGAAAAAACGTAAAAAAAAAAACGAGAAAGTTTACGAAATGTGTTATTTTAAAATCGTAATTATTATGGCTTTTCAAAACATACATAACCGAACTCCGGTCAGGGTCGTTTTTCGTTAAAAATGGTTAATCACTGCGTACAGATGATATACATTAAATTACTTCTCTACCTTCTCAAATTCTAACCTATAACAGCGGCCAACCCATCGAAGTATGTCCAGTTATTTTTTTTAATTTCCGAGTGTAGCAAAAAAGTTATAAGGGTCACGAAGATATAGTTATTTTCTCGGAGAACAATGTTTAGGAAAGACAAAATGTTCAAATTTAAATATGCCTTTATTTAAAATATGCCGAATTTTTGTTCAACGGTACTTTAGTTTTATATTTCTAACAATTTTTCCATACAGTTAAAAAACTGATAACATTTGTCGATGTCTCTGTTTTAATCAGTATTTAGTGATAATATTCCGTCCAGAATCGATGTGTGCAGTATATAAATTAAATTAGTTTAAAGAAAATTTGAAGGTTCGGGGTATAAATTAAATTGATTTACACCCTAAACCTTTTAAAATGTCTACTTACTACAGTGAACTACGACCGTTCATAAAAACAGTGCGGAAAGTATTCGATTTTTTTAAATACGATATTCTTACAAATGCTTGCATTTTACAAACGGTTATTTCAAAGAATAACCTTATTCTAGTATAAGATAGGTTATTTCTTTTAACTTTAATATCAATAATATTGATAAACTATCATATTCACTAACAACCAATAACCAGGAATCTTGATCTAACCACCAACACCATGGATGATTTTTGATAGAAAATTTCTTTTTTGATTTTCTTCTCACTTTTCTTAGTTATTAGGAAACACCGCAAAAAACGTTGAGAAAACTAAGAACCTACCTATTCATTTGAGAAATTACCTTTCTAAAGCAGTATTGGTTTTAAATTACTTATCCGCACATATGATACGGTTTGTAATGCTCGGATGATGAAACTTTTTAATCGTTTGTAGGTAATTTCACGTGAAAAGTGTTTTCTACAGAGAAAACAATAAGAGAGGGAAAAAAGAGAGAAACTATATTATCGTAGTAATATAAATTGAAACCAAAAACACCGTTGCGCTCCATTGTCACGATTGGAAATAAATAATTGCTGCGATCGCGTTATATGAAACTTAACAATTTATACCTATATATATTATTTCAAAGGCCGGTTCCTGGCCCACTTCGTAATTAATATCGTACGGTGGCCGGGATTGAATGTACAGCGAGGGGGGAGAGAATTTCATCTGAGCGTAAAACTGAACAAACGGTTATTTAATATCTCGCATAAAGGTCATCAGCTATACCAACACTAATAATAGGTTTAAAAATATATACAGTCTGATTTCCGAAATTAAGGTTTCACGACAAAAAGTTTATCAATTTAACCACGGTGAAATTGAAAATTACTTTCACGCAATTTATTCGAGGTCAAAAAAAAAAAAAAATGATGGTGGTACAAAAAAAGATAAAAACAAAAAAAAAACCATTTATTGTTAACAGTGTTCTAACAGTTTTAAATGTAGACCAAAGTGATAGAAAAGATTATGATAAATTGTAGCGTATCCATTTTTAGGTGATAGCTCCTATCTTCATTTTAAAATTTTACGAGTTATGACTCATAAATGGCATACGTTTTCGATATTATTATGCATACTTATCGATACCGTTAGAGAAATATTCTCTTTTCGGATGTGGCGTCAAATAGACGGGGTCAATATAAGATAATCGAAAGTCTATATGTGTTTATGGTGTACCGATGTATGGAATAATGGCAAGATTTGGCAGAAAATATTTTAAATAAATAAATTAGATCAAATTAATGAAATAATCATTTCTCGGCTCTATGAAAGGATTGAAATAAATCAAAATATATTTTACTCCAAATCTTCGTAGATAACCGCTGAATCATGATAAAAAAAAAAAAAAACACTATATTGATATTAATATTAATGTTCTGGGTACTGAATGGAAAAACAAAATTGATCCCTTTCTGTTAAATATAATAACAATTACAGATTTCTTCGAAAAAGGGATTTTGTGCACAACAACAAAATAACCCCGGTATAATTGTATAAAACGAATTCGGATTGGCAATTCTATCGTAAATCCAAATCATAAAAAAAAAAAAAAACATAACCTACCAAATCCTAACCCTATTAATATCGTATGACGACGATTCTGTGCATCACTCATGCCAATCGGTTTACTTATCAATTATTATCGTATTAGGGTCAGGGGCATTACATACGGTTGCAGCTTTTGAAACGCGCATAATTGGTGTAATTTAATATTCTATAATTGTATACTGCCTATTACTTCCGAATGTGTCCCGTATAACCGTTATGACTTCGTCAGTAAAACTATATTGTAACCATAATGATTACATGATTATGTGCAGGTTTATGTCACTAGTATAGTAATGTCGAATGCGCAATACTACATTGAAATCTGAATTTGGGGTACTGAAACTAGCATTTTTATTTGTCCACGTACTAATAGTGTTTTTCCCAAGATATTTTCACAACCGAACGATTACACCGAGGTCAAAAATTTGACGACAACGAGAAATTTGAAAATGAAAACATTTAAATTTAAACATACCGAGATAAGTGGTTAAAAAAATATAATAATATATTATTCGATGTGCACACATAACTTTTGAATTACACGATAGTGAAAACTGCTTTATTATCCGAGCGAATACCGAGCGGATGGTTATGGAATTCATACGCCAGTAAGTGATGTACCGTGGGTATATTCCCAATAGAAATAAATAAAATATGTTTAGGAATTTATAGGGATTCCTAAAGTTTAGACATATTCCTATAAGTATTTTTTTTTTATATGTTTTTTAGATTCTGAATAAAGCGAGAGATCTATTGGTTTTATTATTTTTTCTGTTTGTAAACTACTGGAAATCTTGCTCCAATAAAAACATGACAACAGACCTTTTTTATTGCGATTTGAAACTAGTTGATATTTTAAAAAGATTATTTCTTAAATTTCTCATTTATATTAGAGATAATGAAAAAAAAAACTGATTCTTTTGGTTAAAAAAGACTAAATGATTAAAAATAAGATTGTGATTGACAACCAGTTTTATTTATTTTTTGTGATTATTAAGTTTGTATCATTTTAATATCCTTATCTTTTTTTTTTTAACAATTGCTGTTGTAGTTCAAACGCATATTGTTGAAAAAGCAATACGAGGTCTGCTCAAAATGGTTTTTCGTTAATAATAATTAATTTTTGGGTACAGATATAAATTAAATTTCCCTTGTATATCTTGCCTTCTTAAATTCTCTTCTGAAAAGTGGAGGAGCATAGGTAATCAATAAAAATACAGTTTTATAAAAAAAATAAGCCTAACCGAATCTATAATGACCGAAAAAAAACATAAATAAAATGTTTTTAAAATCCTTAGAGAAAATCAAAAGTTCGCGATAAATTGATCACCCTGTATACACACCGCAGTACGAGAGTAATAATGTTATTATAACACGAATGATTGTGACGAGAATTTCAAAAATTTACTCACCTCACTTTTGAGTTTTTGTATTGCGTTCTTATATAATAAATACTGCAGTAATATGGCGGAAATCTCCCGGCGGCGATGACTGTATACACTGTGAATGCCGCCGTGTCAACATCAGCCCTATCTCATAAAATATCTGTTATTGTTTTTGCTATCACCATTGGGATGCCTGAGGATACAAAAAAAAAAAAAAAAGGTTCCAATTTAGGTTATACGTTTCACAAATTTTTATAAAACTTTCATCGTCGTATATTATTATTACTATTATTCGGTCACCTAACTCAATCATGTCACTCTAACACGTACGTTTATAATAATTGGCTGTTTCGACTTTCATACATCAACGGTGGTCGACTTGTTGGAAATTTCAAACAAAATATCTACTCTAATAGACGGAAATTTTGCATTTTACAAGGTCCCGCGTGAAAAAAATTCATATACCTACCTACTTAGTAATAATATTCTACTAACTGAAAAAAACACATTTAAAATAAAAAACCCACGCATCTTCCTAGTAAAAAATACGCTCTACCGGACTACTCTATTATAATTCTGACGGGTCGCGCGTTTGTAAAATATCGTTTTTAATATTTTTACGCCACGCGAAAAGCATTTCAGATAATATTCGTTTTTTTTCTCTCGTCGTACTTACGTACTTCAGATTCCGATCGATGAAACTCGAATGTTCGATACGAGTTTTACAACGAGGCGTGCTTTGTTATCGTCTCGGAAAACGATTTCGGGGGAACGGACTGAAAGTTTCCATGTATACCGTTTAGATTTGCCTGTGTACAAGCAGTGGTTGGACGTAGCGAAACTACTGTAGCGTGTTAATTTTTTTGTTGACATAAGTATGCAAGTATTGTATGGTTTTATGTCGGTAAATAACGTATAGTGCGGTAACACTACATTTCTCATCGGAAAACCGCACAAAATTCGCTACTTTAAGCACCACTTTTTCCGAAAATAAAACAGTAACACAAGGTTTTTTTTATACTTTTTTATATTCTTCTTTGACTGGTCGTTCCGTTTCTGAAGTTGAGCGCCAATACATCACGAGTACATCGTGAATTAAACCTTACACTCCTGTAACAGCTTAAACAAAATTTTTGTTTTTTTTTTTACTGATTGTTTCTCTAAATTAAAAAAATGTACCCTTAAGGAAGCTCAGTATTTAATAATCTGACTGTTTCATGTACCTAGTCGATGTTATACGTATCTTTACACATTTTTTTTTTGTTTTTTAGTAATCTCTATATTGTACTATTTCCCCACCGTCGGCGTAAATTGTTTAATAAATAATTAAGTACATTAATCCTATCGGAAATTAAGGTATTGCATCTTCTAAGATTGACGAGAGCAAGAATGCCCCATTTTATAAGCCGAAAAAAGTAATGGATTACTCTTAAAATGATCGAATTTCGTAGCACTCAACATGTCTTATACACAAAGGAACGATTATTGTAGGGAACTTTTTTTTTTTTTAGAAATGTCACGGTAGTGATAACGCACTACATTGTTTAAAGTAGTGACTACCGACTGGTGTATACACGCTTAATGATGAATAATATTTACGTTGAAAATATAATACCGCTTAGTTTGGACTCGGAATCGTTTTTAGTATTCGGCCGTTTACCGTTTGCGGTTTGCTAACTGAAAACAATACGACCCCCGTATCGCGTTTTGCGCTTAAAACAGTGGTGGCCTATACCCATGGCGTTAATGATATTATTAAAAGCCGCTTTTATTCCGTTTTAATTCGTTGTTTTTAACTCATGTCGAGCTAAACCCTTTGTTTATAACAAACAAGTTAAAGTCGAATCAATTTACGTACGGAATATTTATTTTTTCCAAACTGTTTTATTTTTTCTGATTCGACGGTTGTTTCCATTGAAATCAATAACATTAGACGAACAATAGTATAAATTCGGACATTTTTTTACCGAATATTACGCGTCGAAATTATTGGAGAGAGGCCGCTTTGATAACGACTTTGAAAACACATTACACAATCTATCCCGTGATCGAATGGTTAAAACCAAAATATCATAAATGGTTTTTTTTTTTTTTTGCTGAACAGTTTAGGAGATATAGTTGGCCAAAGATTTAATGGTGTACAGGAGAACAAATATCATTCGAGTGAATAAACAAATCGTATCCACAGAAACCTCGTTGTTTCTTTAGTTTTCGAGTTATCAAAGGGCCCACTTAAATTATTGACATTCACGTTTTAGTTGGAGTCAGTTTACGAAACACATGAAACATATACCATAATCAGTCGATATCAATAATATTCTAACCATAACGTGCGATTCACTGTCGTAACCGGACGTAATTTGATTAATAATTTGAGTAGTATAACACGTATAATATTTTATAACAATATACGGACGTGACCGTTAGAGGGTTTTATTTGTATTTATTTTATGTTTCTTTTAAAATGCCAATCGGTTTTTTTATAATGTATATGAAATATGAAAAATCAAACACTATACCAAGTTAAATACGCAATAATAAAATAATTGATATAGTCAACGTTATTTCTGCTTGATTTCAAAGATAAACATTTAAACACCAAATATCAGTATTGTGATCGTTAAAAAATCGCATAAATCTAAAATAGGAATTATTTTACCGACAATTTAAACAGCAAGTCCTAATGTCAAATTCTGGATTGTTTCAAGGAATTTGTTACGAATAAATATCTTGCTGCAAAGTAGAATTTTTTAAAATGTTTGATCCACCCTTGTAAGCCTGATCTCAAATGAACTGTGATTTAAAACTTCCACGTCTGGTGAAGTAATGATGCTGAAAATAGACAATTTGCATGTAAAACTATAAGGAACAGGTTTTGAAACCGTACAATATTAATTAGGTCTGAACTTCAAGAGTACGAAAAATTGTCGAAAAATCAACGACGTCATTATATCGAGATAATTTAAAATTGATCGTAAATGACGGAATAATTAATGTTACTGAACGTAGTGCTTTGTTTTTTCAATTTATGTTGGTCGTAAAATTTTTTAAAATCTACAAAGGGGGCTGGAAACCTAAGAGGTCTGGGAATCATTGATTTAGCTATTATACTCACAACAGAGATATCCCATTTACATTCATCCCCATTTTTAATACAAGTTATCAGTATCCTTTCAACATTTTGAACAAATGTACATACAGGCATAAAACGTGAAATTCATAAAAAATAACGTGCTTTTTTTTACCAACATAATTATTAAAATTGTATGGCCCGGTTTTCGGGTACGCGAGCGAATTGAATTTTATATTTTGAAAATACGATTATAACAAGACGCGATGTTGTAGGCGCACAATAATTGTTCTTTAACCTAATTTAAAAAGCGTACACATACGACGGGCCTTTTGATGTTTTGAAATTAACATAACATGTGTGACGGTTTCGGGGCAGGGCGTATATATAATTCAATATAGATTCTCGTTGGAACTTGGCTAATCGCTGCGTACAACAGGCATTTATTAGTAAAGTGTTCGCGTTTGAATTGATAACGAACGCTCTCGTATAGGTACGTGCAAACATATTATGGTTATTATTATATTTGCAACAATCGCATTATTCGACTATCGATGAAAACAACTAACAATCGAAAAATATTATCGTTGTTGTCAGTGCTCGGATTTTATAGCACTGAAAATAGCTGAAATATGCACTATAATGGCCTAAAAAATCTTGAAATTAGCGCTTTTTATATTATGTCCTAACAATCTGAAAATGAGCTATGCCTATAGTAGATGCCATAGAAAAACATGAAAAATGGTTAAAAAGATAATTTTTTTGTTGTTAATTTTAATTTAATTTTAAATATTTATAAATACAACCAAGTCATAAATGTAAACTGTCCGAATAAGCAGGGCTATACAAAAAAACAATGATCATGTGAAAAAATAATA